TATATATGGGAGCTATATATAAATCTAAACCGATTTTCAGGAAACTTAACACACATTGTTCTAGGATCCATTCAGTACCCTATGCCAAATTTCGTGCAAATCGAAAGATATGTAGGGACTTTAGTGCACCATTTACCTTAAATCAGACGAAACTATATATGGGAGATATATCTAAATCTAAACCGATTTTGGCGAAACTTAGCACACATCACCTCAGACTCAATTCAGTACGCTGTGCCAAATTTCCTGCAAATCGAAAGATATATAGGGACTTTGCTGCACAATTTACATTAAATCGTACGAAACTATATATGGGAGCTGTATCGAAATCTGAACCGATTTTCACGAAACTTAGCACACATCATTCCAGGCTTAATTCAGTACGATGTGTCAAATTTCGTGCAAATCGAAAGATATATAGAGACTTTTGTGCAGCGTTTACATTAAATCGGACGAAAATATATATGGAAGCTATATCTAAATCCGACCCGATTTTTTCCAATTTCAATAGGGTTCGTCCTTGGACCAAATAAGTGAACTGTGCCAAATTTTATCCAATTCGGGTGATAAATGCGACCTGTAATTTGTTTACAATTTAACATGGACACACAGACGGACGGACGGACATGCATAAATCGATTCAGAAAGCGATTCTATGCATATTCTCAAAAGGAGCCATGTGTCTATCTCGTTTCCTTTTGCCTGTTACAAACTTATGCACAAAGACATAGTACCCTGTACCGCAGTGTGGTGAAGTGTATAAAAATCCACGCCTATTTTAGGTCTTTGAAAAATATTTTAAAAAAATGCATGCCTTTGGTAGGTCATGGAATAATTTAAAAAAATCGACATAAAAAATTACACAATTTTTTTCAGCTGGCAATAATTTTAATTTCCAATTCGCTTTGAATGGGCGAATTCAGCAATAACCACAGTCACAAACCATTTGTATATTAAGAAACTGCATTATCGACGCCTTTGAATGGTAATGCCGTATGTGAACTGCTTTGCCTATTAGATGTGAAGGTGTAAGACGATTTTTTAAAAAATATATGTTTGAAGAAAAATACCAGTCAATGATTTAAAAAAATATATTTTTTAAAAACCTATCAAGTATTTTTAGGTCAAAAATTTTTTCAATATATATATTTAAATCCAACGAAAGGCATCGATTTTGGTACAAATATTTTTTCAAAGGCCTACCAACGGCCTAGACTTTTTGTAAATATTTTTTTAATGACTTAAGGCATGGAATTTGTTTAAAAATATTTTCCAAAAGATCTTCCAATACTGTGACAGATGGCGTATGATTGCTGTCATTGCTATTAGCATATAATTCATACCAATCATACGCATCAATGAATTAATATTACTAATACGCAACGATGTACAAATATTCTAAATGTTTTACCAGCAATTTGTGTAGCTGCTTCCAAAGGCCATAACTTTGGAACCAATTCAAATATTTGAATGAAATAAATTGTATTTTAAGGCCAAAATATTCAGGTTTAAATTTAACCTGCAATAAAAATAAACTATCACCTAAAGAAGTAATAAAAAATATCAATAGTAATAACAAAAATATTTCATTGTTTTCTGAAACTTTTGGGCATGGAATGTCACGGAGCAATTTACCTATTCGAAGGTATTTTTGAGGGACTAAGTCGTTGAATTTTTTAAAGAGGAGCATCTTAGCTTTCCGTCGATATCACTTTTATAAAGATTGCTAAAACTATACCGAAGATATCCGAAAAACAAAAAGGGTACTCAATTTTTTACACATTGTTGAAATTTTGGGTAATCATTTTCTTGGGGTCATAACTTTTGATCTAATCGATATATTTGAACGAAATAAATTGTATTTTGTAGATAAGATATTGCTGCTTTCAAAATATGTTATAATTGATTTGCCTTTCTCTCAAACAATAACCATAAAAATTCAATGAAGATAATAACGACATGTTTCCAAATTTTTGCAAACATGGAGTATTGTATTCAATCAATTTTTTTCAAATATTTAGAGACATTTTTTGAAGAACAAACCAACTAAGGTTTAAAAGTGGAACATCTCAGCTTACCATAGATATAATTTTTATAAATCTTGCTCCAAAATTGCCCATGATATCTCAAAAACAACAGTTGTACTCAAAATTACCTAATTTTTGCAAATTTTGGGTAATCTTCTTCGGAGGGCCATAGCATCTAAAATTGTGGAGATATCGTCACGAAATAAAATTTATATTGAAGGTATAATAATCAGGTTTTAACATGATCCACAATGGAGGTACATTTTCTCCTAAAATTAGTAAACCAAAAAATCTAGGAAATTGTTGACCACTTTTTCCTATTGATTCTCCTAAGACGGTGTATTGCATGTAAGGGACCAAAAGGCATATTCGAAGGGATTTTTTGAAGGGTCGAGCTCTTGAATCTTTCAAGAGGAATATCTTAGCTCCCAGTAGATATCGTTTTTAGAAATATAGCTGCAAATATACCGAAGATATCTGAGAAACAAAAGGAGTACTCAATTTTCTCCAATTTTGTTCAAATTTTGGGTACACCTTTTCCGGGGGTCATAACTTTTGAACCGATGGATATATTTGAACGAAATAAAATTTATATTGAAGGTATAATAATCAGACTTTAATATGATCCATCATGGAGGTACATTTTCTTCCGAAAATAGTAACCAAAAAATTCAAGAAAATTGTTGACCACTTTTTCCTATTGATTCGCCAAAGGCAGTGTACTAAATGTAATGGTTCAAAAGACTTATTCGAAGAGATTGTTTGAAGGATAAAGCTTTTGATCTTTTGAAGAGGAATATCTCAGCTTTCAGTAGATATCAGTTTTAGAAAGATATCTAAAAATATACCAAGGATATCTGAGAAACAAGAGGAATACTCAATTTTATTTAAATTTTGGGTACACCTTTTCCGGGGGTCATAACTTTGGAACCAGTTGGTATATTTGAGTGAAAAAAATGTATTTGGTAGCTGAGATATTCAAGATTCCAAAATGATATATAATGACTATGCTTTTCTCCCAGTAAGTAATCAGAAAAATTCAAAGCAAATAGTAAGACAATAATTTAATGGTTTTTCCAAACGTGGGGTATTTTAAATAAAGGAATTTTTCGAAGATATGGAGAGGATATTTGAGGATGGAACTAACTACATAATGAAAGAAGTTTATCTCAGCTTTCAACGAACACCATTTTTACAAATCTAGCTTTGAAATTGGCCAAGATATCTCAAAAACAACAGTTGTGCTCATAATTTCCTAATTTTGACAAATTTTGGGTAATCATCTTCTAAGGGTCATAACATCGAAAATTGTGGAGATATCTTAACGGAATAAAATCTATTTTGAAGGTAGAAAAATCAGGCTTTAATATGATCCACAATGGATCCACAATGGTACATTTTCTACCAAAAAGGTAAACCAAAAATTCGAAGAAATTGTTAACAAATTGTTCCTGTCGCTTCTCCAAAGGCGATGTATTGCATGTAATGGTTCAAAAGACATATTCGAAGGGATTTTTCGAGGAATTAAGCTCTTGAATTTTTCAAGAGGAATTTCTTAGCTTTCATTAGATATAAGTTTTAGAAAGATATCTGAAAATATACCAAAGATATCTGAGAAACAAGAGGAGTACTCAAATTTTCCCAGTTTGTTAAAATTTTGGGTAATCGTTTTCTGTGGGTCATAACTTTTGAGCCAGTTGATATATTTGAGTGAAATAAATTGTATTCCGTAAATGATATATTCCTGATTCCAAAATATCATATAATAGCTATGATTTTCTCCCAATAAGTAACCGCAAAAATTCAAAGAAAATAGTAAGACAATATTTAATGGTTTTTCCAAACGTGGGGTATTTTAAATAAAGGAATTTTTCGTAGATATGGAGAGGATATTTGAGGATGGAACTAACTACATAATGAAAGAAGTTTATCTCAGCTTTCAACGAACACCATTTTTACAAATCTAGCTTTGAAATTGCCCAAGGTATCTCAAAAACAACAGTTGTGCTCAAAATTTCCTGATTTTAGCAAAATTTGGGTAATCATCTTCTAAGGGCCATAACATCGAAAATTTTGGAGATATCTTTACGGAATAAAATGTATTTTGTGGGTATCATAATCAGGCCTTTATGTGGTCCACCATGGTGCTTCGTTTTCAACCAAAAAGTTAATGTAAAAATTCGAAGTATACCACGAATATTAGGGTTGGATTTTTCAAAAATCTATTTTTATGAGTACCCCTTGAATAAAAATACCAATTTTGTTCTTTATTAAATAATTTATTAGTATTGTAAATTTATAAATAATTTCAGATATAATTTTTTTTCGAAATTTTGTGAAAAAAAAATATTTTTTTTTATTACCTTAAATTAAAAAAAAAAAAAATTCAAAAAAAAAATTTAAAAACAAGAAATTATTATGAACAATAAAAATATTAATGTTTTTTTAATTAAATTTCGAAAGGTTTACAATATTCAGATATTTTATGTTTTAAAATAATCTAAACCTAAAAATTATAATTAATAATTTTTTATTATATATAAAATTTATTTTTAATAATTATAATTAATACAAAAAAAAATAAATTACTACATTTCAGTCTTCAGAAAGTGCTTAGAAATTGTTGTATAGTTTGTTGTTGTTGTAAATTATATTTTTATATATATAAATAATTATTTATTTATGTATACTTAGATGTCTCGATCGATACTAAACTAAATTATTGAAATAAGGTTCTTATTCTAAGATTTATATATTTTTTTTCATTCAAAATTTTTTAATTTTTCTTAATTTTTTTTTCTTTAGAAATTTTTTCGATTTTCTGCAAAAAATCGAAACAAAAATTTTTCATCAAAAATTATTTTAAAAATTTTTAAGAATTTTTTTTTCATTTCGAAAAAAGTGCTTCAATTTTTTTTAAATTATAAAATTAATTTTTTTCCAAAAAAAAATATTTTTCCTTTAAACAAACATCTATTTTAAGTTCTTCTGCTCAACAGAATCTTCTGAATCTCGACGAAAATCTCCACCAGCCAGCTGACGATCCACATTTATGATTTCCCCCTCCTCCTCGGCCTTTAGAATTTCGTTGACCGGTGTTGCAGCCGCCGATGCAGCTCCCCTACATTCCTCCTCCTCCCTTTCCCCCACTTCCACATTAGTTTCACTCATCGATCTCTTCGGTGACAATGAGATCGGCGATGAACCCTGTGATGAGGGTGACAACGAATTCGAATTAGATGTTTCACCTATACTCCCGCTCGTATTCAATTCCATTTCTAATTCCGTATAAATTTCAATGAGATTATTTATACCGATGAGATAACCATCTTCATGGTTACCCACCTTCCAGGTGGTATTATGATTTATGAAATGATTCTCCGGCAGTTGTACAGTTTTGGCAAAATCTATTAACCAAACATTGGCCTGTTTGCGATCGTGTACAAAGAGTAAAGAGCTGCCGATGACTTCGTGGCTGCGGAAGAAATCGGAACATTCTAGGGTGGCACGAATAGCACGTAATCGTTGTAAATAACGGGGCTGGAAAAAGGGAGAAAAAATATAAATTAATTTAAAAAATATTTTTTTTTTCAATTTTCATTATTTTTTCAAACTGTTATACTGAAACCTAAAAACATAAAAATTGTATTTTCTAAAATTTTTATGAATTTTTATGCATTTTAATGATTTTACGGAATTTTATAACAGTATAACAGTTTTTGTTAACTGTTATACTCCACAAAAAAACTGTTATACTAATGAAATATGTTGCAAAATTCAATAAATGTCATTATTTTATAGCAATTTCTTAAAATTTTTTGATTTTAAGATTTTTTTAATATTATCTTAACTTTCTCAAACTGTTATACTGCTAAAAAAAATTAAGAAATTTGCGATTTTTATACATAATAATAACTGTGTAACCTTTTTTATTTCTAGGAAAAAATGCTAAATTAAATTTTATGAAAAATAATTTAAAAAAAATATTTTTGTGTAATATTTAAAAAAAAAATTGAAACTGTTATACTGAAACTAAAAAATATAAAAATTTTATTTTCTATAATTTTGATGAATTTTAATGCGTTTTAATGATTTTCATGTCATTTTAAAACAGTATAACAGTTTTTGTTAACTGTTATACTCCATCGAAAACTATTATACTAATGAAATATATTGAAAATTTCAATAAATGCCATTATCTGAAAGTAACTAAGACATTTTTTTATAATTTTACGATTTTTTTTTTTAAATTTTATATTAATTTTCTCAAACTGTTATACTGCTAAAAAAATTAAGAAATTTCCGATTTTTATATATATTTATAACAGAACAACGTATTTTTTATGTAAATAAATAGATGGTGAATTAAATTTTATGAAAAAAAAAATTAATATATTTTAATAATTTTAAAAAATTTGAAACTGTTATACTGACCTTAAAAAAATAAAAATTTTATTTTCGGTCATTTTATTGATTTTTTTTTTGTTTTTTATGTTTTCCAGTGAATTTATAAGGTGTATAACAGTTTTTGTTAACTGTTATACTCTATTAAAAACTGTTATACTAGTAAAAATTGGTGAAAATTTTATTATTTGAGTTCTCTCAAATAAAATTTTTAACATTTTATTAATTTTAAGACATTTTTTTAAATCTATTTTAATTTTCTCAAACTGTTATACTGCCATTAAAATAAAAAAAACACATTTTTTTTTCTCATTTTCTGGAAGCCTATCTATGACCTAATGACTTTTTTAACTGTATAGCATTTTTTTGTAAACTGTTATACTCCATAGAAAACTGTTATACTGAACAAATATTTTGAAAAAAATTAAAAATTCAGTCGATTTTGTAAACAAGGATGAAATTTAAATTGCTTTAGCCTCAAAACTTACCATAGCATGTGGAAAACCGCTTACGAACTCCTTGAAGGCCGCCTTTATTTGATCGCGTGACTTTGTGGTCTTGAAATCCTTGGTGCTGGTGCCATCACTTTTCTTGATACCCTGCGGAAAAAGAAATTCCAAAAACAAAATTTTAAATATGTACTCTCTTTCCTCTCCCTCTCCCAATTTCTCATTCTTACCTCAATCCTAAAACCCAATGTGGCCGTACTCGATATAGTCTCCCGCCACACCATATAGCGTGGCTTAGTAACACCCTTGGCCTTGTGTTCCTCTTCACTGGGCGCATTCGGATCAATTTGTATCATTTTCTCATACATATCCTTGCGTAGCTTGGGCTTTTCCTTGGCCTTGGACAGCTCCTCTTCCAGGTAAGTACGTACCCCGATTTTACAGTCCATGACACAGGGCTGATAGAAATCGCTCAAGAGGTCCTGCAGCTGCAGATATACTGAAAGAAAAGAATCAATAAAAAATATTTTTTAGAATTTTTCTTTCTTCTTCATTAGCTTGTACTTACATTCACCATCCTCACTGGTCACCTGACCCTTATACTCTGGTACATATGGCCTCAGTACATCCTTCATGAGTATATGAAAACAATCCTCCTCCTTGGGACATAATTTCTTTAGAACGGTACCCTGTTCGGTGCCGGCCTTGAAATTGCCTTGATGTCCGGCCAGCTGGACCCAGGGATAACGTTGCTTTTTGTAGGTTTGAAAGAATGGTGTCCATTGTACTATGTTGCGGATTTTACGCCAACCGGAAGGCTAAAGAGAGAAAGGATGAGAGAAGAGGGAAAAAACGAATTAGTCACAAACATCAGAAAAAGGATTTTTATTTCCGCTAACATATTCCATCAACCTTACACGATAGCCAAAAGATGTGTTTGGCAACATTGTTGCCAACTCTATGAGGAATATATTTGTGGAACACATTAACCCCGTAACTGCTCAAAATATGGGTCTTCTAGGCCCGTTTTCCAAGAAAATGTAAAAAAAACTGCTATATTTTTAACTTCCATCAGGATATCCTTATAATCCTGACATGTTAGCTAAAGGATGTGTTTGGCAATATTGTAGCCAACCCTTCAAGGAATATTTTTGCGGAGCACATCAATCCTGTAACTTCTCAAAATATGGGTCTTTGGGTCCATTTTCTGAGAAAATGTAAAAAAAACATTTTATCCTTATATATCCTTATAATCCTGACACTTTAGCTAAAGGATGTTTTTGGTAATAGTGTTGCCAACCCTATGAAAAATATTTTTGTAGAGCTCATTAACCCTCTAAGCACTCACTATGTGGGTCTTTTTGGACCTTTTATATGAATAAACATAAAAGTGTCATGATTATTTTCCTCCTAGATAAAGGATATGTTTGGCAATAGTGTTGCCAACCCTATGAGGAATATTTTTTCGGAACACTTTAACCTTCTAAGAACGCGTTATAGGGGTAGTTTTGGTCCCATTTGTGAGCAAAACTTAAAAATGTTATGATGTTTTTTATTCCATTTAAAATATCTGCATTATCCTTCCATCCTAGATAAAGGATGTGTTTGGCAATAGTGTTGCCAACCCTCTGAGGAATATTTCTTTGGAACATATTAACCCTCTAAGAACACGTTATAGGGGTCATTTTGGCCTCACAAGTCGGGAAATATAAAAAAATAATGATATCGTTTAATTTCTCCCAAGATATCCTTATAATCCGTCCATCTTAGATAAAGGATGTGTTTGTCAATAGTGTTGCCAATACTATGAGAAATATTTTTGCGGAACATATTAACCCTCTAGGAACACGCTAAAGCGGTATTTTTGTTTTTTTTTTTTTTTTTTTGGGAAAAAATATACAAAATTTACGATGTTTGATATATAAGTTCATTTCAAAACAGGTCCTGTTTCTCCTCCTAGACGACACTTTAGAAAAATTCCGTCAATGAAAAAAATCTTCCTCATCTTATTTCACTATGGGTCCCGAATAACAAGAAATCGATATATATAAAAATAATCGGTTTAAATGTGGGTATAATAATGACAAACAATAAATATCTTCATTTTTTGATTCGTCTCGAACAGGGACCCATATCTATAGCTAGATGATTCATTAGGGGACTGCGGCCAATGGAAAAAATGTTCCTCATCGAATTCCACTGGAGGCCTCGAACCATAAGAAATCGGTAGCTATAATATATATGCGTCAAATATAGTTTCAAAAATTCGAAAAATAAAATAGGTTCGTATTTTTAATCGTTTCGAAGAGGGGCCCATTCCTCCCCTTAGATTATACTTTAGGAAATTGCTGTTAATGGACAAAATTTTGCTCATCGAATTCTACTATGGGTCTCGAACCAAAAGAAATCGGTAGATGTGATACATATATGACAAATATCGTTTAAAAATTGGAAATAATAAAATATGTACGTATTTTTAATCGTTTCGAAGTGGGACCCATTTCTCCCCCTAGTTGATACCTTAGGGAATTGCTGTCAATGGAAAAATGTTCCTCATCGAATTCTACTAGGGGTCTCGGAACACAAAAAATCGGTATATATAATATATATATATATATATATATATCTGTCAAATATCGTTTAAATAAATTAGATAAATAAAATATGCCCTTATTTTGGATCAGCTCGATTTGGGAACCCTTTCATCCCTCAGATGACACTTTAGGGTGGTAATGTCAAAGGCAAAATTAATCCTTATCGAATTTCACTATGGGCTCCGAACCACAAGAAATCGGTAGCTATAATCTATATCGGTCAAAAATCGGGTAAACAAATTAGAAAAAATAAAATATGTTTGTTTTTTTGATCGTTTCGGAATGGGTCCCATTTCTCCCGCTAGATAATACTTTAGGTGATTGCTGTCAATGGAAAAAATGTTCCTCATCGAACGAACCACAAGAAATCGGTAGCTATAACATAAGTGCACCGAATATCGCGAAAAATTTAACAAATTACATATATTTATCATATTAGAGAAATTTCTTAATCTTTCACAATTAGAGCCCATTCGACTGATAATTCTGCATTTTAGGTAGTTGGTCCCAATGGAAAACGTATTCTCCTTCAAATTTCACTATAGGTTCCAGAAGAAATGAAGTTTGTAGATTTCATATATATCCGGCAAATGTCGGCTTCAATGTGGGTAGACACATTTTTTTTAAATAAATATTATGATTTTTCGGGTCATTTCGATTTTGAGCCAATCTCACCAACTAAATGACATATTAGGGGGATAAAGTCAATGGAAAAAATAATCCTTGTCAAATTTTAGTAGCGGTCTCGAACCACATTTAATCGCTAGCTATAACCTATATACCCTAAATGTCTATTAAAATCGGAACAATTTCGCTATTTATATTTTTCTTAATAATTCCAAGCCTTTTTCTTTCAGTTACCTATTAGGTACGTATTCCCTCATTATAGAGAGTTGGTCCCAATGGAAAAAATACTCCTCATCACATTTTAGTAAGGGTCTCGAACCACATCTGATCGCTAACTATAACATGTATAGCCGAAATAAATATTAAAATTGGAACAAAATAGGTATTTATATTTTTTTGTAATAATTTCACACCTTTTTCTTTCAGATACCTATTAGGTCCATATTCCCTCATTGTAGAGAGTTGGTCCCAATGGAAAAAATAATCCTCATCAAATTTTGGTAAGGGTCTCGAACCACATCTAATCGCTAGCTATAACATATATAGCCTATATAAATATTAAAATCGGAACAAATTAGATATTTATATTTTTTGTAATAATTTCAAACCGTTTTTCAATCAGATACCTAATAGGCCCATATTCCCTCATTGTAGAGGGTTGACCCCAATGGAAAAAATATTCTCCATTAAATTCTACTAGAGGTTTTAGAACACCATAAATCTATAGCTATAATATATATCAGCAAAATATTGGCTACAACATGAGTATATATGGGATGTGAAGGGTATTTTTAAAGTAATTCCAAAAAAAGGCAATTTTGTATAACATATATAGCCTAAAATAAATGTTAAAATCCAAATCGTTTTTATTTTTTGAGAAAACTATTCTTTCAAGGTAGTTATCTTCCCCATCAAATAATCCTCATCAAATTTTAGTAAGGGTCTCGAACCACATCTAATCGCTAGCTGTAACCTATATACCCCAAATATCTGTTAAAATCTGAAAAGAATTAGCTACCTATATTTTTTGTAATAATTTCAAAACGTTTTTCTTTCTAGTACCTAATAGGTCCATATTCCCCCATTGTAGACGGTTGGTCCCAAGGGAAAAATTATTCTCCATAAAATTCTACTAGAGGTTTCAGAACAACAAAAATCTGTAGGAAAAATATATTTCAACAAAATATCGCTAACAACATGAGTATATAAATTAGTTCGTATGATGAGTATTTTTTAAGGGTAATCTCAAATAATGACAACTTTGTCCCACTGTTACTCGTTTTTGGTGAAACATATCAAAGGTTGGTATCTTCCCCATCAAATTTCACTATGGGTGACGGAAGAAATAAAATCTCTAGGAAGATTATAAAAGCTTCCAATGTGGCTAAGAACATGAGTATTTTTATTAGTTAGTATAATGAGTATATTTTAAGGGTAATTTCAAATAATGACAAGTTTGTCCCACTGTTTCTCGTTTTTGGTGAAAATTATCAAAGGTACACATCTTCTCCATCAAATTTCACTATGGGTCACCGAAGAAATGAAACCTCTACGAAGATTATAAAAGCATCCAATGTGGCTAACAAAATGGTGAATCAAAAAATTCACCCCAAAACCCAATTATTATTATCATTTGTTGTTGTTGTACTGGATCCCATCAGTTTTCTAATATCTTAATTAAAATTCAAACACAAAAACAAAAATAAATTCAACTCCTCCGAGTAATTTATATTCTTCTACAACGTGAATGTCAACCACAATCACCGAATTCAAATCTCAAACACGCTCTGTACAAATCTACAAATCTCAAAATACCGGCACGTGTCAAATGGCTATCATACGCTAATCAAAATTAGTTTATTGGCCTGTAATACAATTACAAAAAAAAAACACAACAACAACAAAAAATAAGATAAGGCTAAAAAACAAGCTACGTTGCTAGAAAAAACCCACCAACCTGCAACATAATTGTTTGTGCCTCACAACAAATTTGGTTGCAAAGCAGTTACCACCCAAAAAAACGAGTAACTAAATTTGTCAAATTAAACCGAAAACAACAAGAACAACAACATAAAATTAAAAAAAAAAAAACAGAACAGTGGTCCTTAAAACATCGATGTAGGTCTTTGAAATATTTTTAAAAAAATCCACGCCTTGGGTAGATCATTGAAAAAATATTTTTAAAAAAATCCACGCCTTGGGTAGGTCATTGAAAAATATTTTTAAAAAATCCACGCCTTGGGTAGGCCATTTGAAAAAAATATTTTTAAAAAATCCACGCCTTGGGTAGGTCTTTGAAATATTTTAAAAAATCCACGCCTTGGGTAGGCCATTTGAAAAAAATATTTTTAAAAAATCCACGCCTTGGGTAGGTCATTGAAAAAAATATTTTTAAAAAATCCAAGACTTGGGTAGATCCTTGAGTAGGTTCTTAAAAATATTTTTAAAAAATCCACGCCTTGGGTAGGCCATTTGAAAAAAATATTTTTAAAAAATCCACGCCTTGGGTAGGTCATTGAAAAAAATATTTTTAAAAAATCCACGCCTTGGGTAGGTCATTGAAAAAAATATTTTTAAAAAATCCACGCCTTGGGTAG